CATGAAGAGCAACTTTCCTTCTTTCAGTACTGATTGAAATCACCTGGGCTGTGAAGATTTTCTAACAACTCTGGTCATGAACAAAGCAGAACTTTCCCACAACATGACTGGTACTCACGCATAACACCCTGGGCGATACATTTCACACAGCCTGATAGGCTCCGCTTGCTCAAAGAGATGAGATCTTTTAGTAAGCCTATGTAAAAGACTCTTCAGTAACTCAAGCTCTGGAACATTAATAGCATTTGTTAAATAAATATATTTTTACCAGCTGATGAAACGTGTGAATCCTTAGTTACACCTCCTCCACAGGCAGACAGGCATTTGAGTGGCAGAATGCAGACAGCACAGAATGACCTAGCATTAATCTGCATGAGGTCCACTTCCCACCAGTCCTTCCTCGAATACACGCCTCAGACGGACTGACACCAGGGGAAAAAAAACGAGAAAATGCAAACTGTTCAAAAACTAATGCAGGCACGGTGTGAAAAACAATTTGGACTTATGTAATAATAAATAATACAAAGTTAGTATATCAGTAATGTATGGAACCACATTGCATCATATAGTCTAGGAACCTTGAAGCACAATATACTGTGCAAGACTAAAATCAGAACTATGGAAGGTCATGTGAACTGAGAATGTAGTGTTTGTACAAACGTCATTTCCTTGTCAACAGTGAATAAACGCACATACACACTCTCTTCCTCAAATTTACCCCTATACTGACTCTAGCAGACATGCAAAGTTATTTTAAGCGTTTGCTTAAATGGCATTACATTGGTTTGTACAACAAATAAATGAGTCTTGAGATCAGACTTCAAGCATTAAAGAAATAGTTCACCCAAAAACGAAAATATGCTGAAAATGTACTCACTTTCAGGCCATCCAAGATGTAGATGAGTTTGTTTTTTCATCAGAACAGATTTGGAGAAATTTTGCATTACATCACTAGTGGTGCTCACTAGTGGATCCTCTGCAGTGAATGGGTGCCGTCAGAATGAGAGTCCAAACAGCTGATAAAAACATCACAATAATCCACAAGCAATCCAAATGACTCCAGTCCATCAAATAACATCTTGTGAAGCGAAAATCTGCATGTTTGTAATAAACAAATCCATCTTTAAGACATTTTTAATTTCCAACCGTTTCTTCCGGCTAAAATACGAGTCTGCAATACACAATTTTGCTTTCTCCAAAAGCAAAAAGTCAAAACTCATCTTTTCTGAATCAGCAGAGAAATATGCACAGATAAGCACTACTTACAAGTGAAAACAGTCCAAAACAGTTTTAAACAAATATGTTGGTGGATTTTGATGTGAAAGGACAACAGGGGATGGAATTTTTCACTAGAAGAATTTATGGATTAAGGCGTTATTATGGATTAAGGACTCTTTGAGTATTTTGGCAAGAAGTGACAGTTTCAAGTTAAAACACCTTAATGGTGGATTTGTTTCTTACAAACATACAACTTTTGACTTCACAAGACGTTAATTGATCAACTGGACATCTGTGGATTGCTGTGTTATTTTTATCATTTGTTTGGACTCTCATTCTAACGGCACCCATCTACTGCAAAGGATCCATTGGTGAACAAGTGATCTCAAAACCTGTTCCAATGAAGAAACAAATTGTTCTACATTTTGGATGGCCTGAGGGTGAGTAAATTTTCAGCATTTTGGGTGAACATTTCCTTTAAGTCACATTTACCATTGTGGGGTGAATTTCTGCGAAATACAGTAATTTCAATAGGAATGCATGTGATCTGGAATTTTGCAGGATGAAAAAAGAGGTTCCAAGATTTACCACGTTGACCAACACAAACCTATTTGGGAAAAATGCTTCATACATCACTACATTACGGACTGTAGTCAACTGATTTATTTTGCCTGAAAGATTTTTGCTGAAATTTCATAAAAATTTTGACCTTTAGACCAAATTATAGGAAGTTAAAATAAAAGGTGTCACTTGCAATTTCTTCCTAAATGAAATGCACAACCTAATCCACATCTCATGCGCATATGGCACTCTCAAAACAGCAGCTGGTAAAAGCTTCCTTGAGCACTACATACTCATCTGATGACAAACGGTACAGAGAAGACATACCGGAAAAAAATATCTAGCATTGATCTGCAGATGTGAAGCTGAAGCATTTCATTTTTGAAACAAAGTGGCCAAAAAAAGAGAAAAAAACAAAGAAAAGTGGACTTGTTTCCTTCTTTTATGTGTACATGACTGTGTAAGTGCAGAGCTTAGTGCGACAATAACAAGTGGAGAACTCCCCAATTAACTCAACACAGGAAAGCAAATGTCTCTGCTCTACAATTCATCAAAAATAGTAGTAGGCAGCAGCATCTGCACACAATACAAGCTGTCACACACAGCAGACACGAGCGGAGATGTTGCATGAGATCTCTGACAGCATCTGAGGTCAAATAAGCTGGCACTGATTGCTCAACTGTCCAGAAGCTGCCTCCTTAGGAAGTTCCAGCAACTTGTCCTGACCCCTGAACCCCAGAGGGGGTGTTCATGCATTACAAAACTTCAAATGAGATTGCATTCGTCATACTGAACGATCGTGTTTTACAACTCAATAGTTAAATAGCTGGAGAGGATGAACTGACTTCTGAATTACTCATGTGGCTGCTAATGACAACATGATTTGAATCAAATGTTTACAACAGACGTCAATGACAAACCAGAGCATTTTCACACCTTATAAAGCCGGGACGGGAAAAGACGTACTACTATCAAATTCACACATGGGACGATGATTTTAAGCGCAGAATAACGGGTTCAACAGAAAATCTCTGAGGTTGCATGTTTACAACTGGGCCCCGCTAGCAACCGTTAGCATCAGCGGCTAATATTAGCGATAAAACTGGTTTCCGTATTTACAAAACAACCCCAAACTCGACCGAAGCAACTCAAATAAACATTCGTTTATAGCTCAAAATGGGTTACTAGAGATGCAAAGTGCGTTTGACTTCATTTAACGCTAAAGAATGGGATGTTTTCGGTTTGTTTGTTTGCTAGCTCGTCTGGCTAACTTCAGCTGAATCTCTTACAGAAGTTTCTTCCCATCTGAAGAGAATTAAAACGACACATTTTCTAAGCAAAACACTCATAAACAAGCGTGGTTTTGCGTAAAGCAGAGAGGGTCGGCACCGACAGTGCTATCTGCGCATGTAAACAGGATTTGCATGTAAGCTTACCCCCGCGGTGAGTGTCTTCAGACGGGCTGCTGGTTGTCGGTTAGTGCTGGTCTGGCTCGTGCAGCGGTGGCGCTGCTGCTGCTGCCCCGCGCGGCGCGCGCTCTGTGAAACCCCACAGCTGCCACGAGAGCGTTTTCCTCTCAACTATCTGCCCAAAGCGAGAGCCATTGTACTGCCCAAAGTTGTTTTTCCGCTCTCTTTTATTTATAAATTAATTTTTAGAAAATTACTCTGCTCTTAGTCACTACGTAGAGTTATCTCGGCCGCTCACGCGCAAAAAGAGGGAAGGGGGGGATCGGAAAATAAAAACGCGTTCATGTGTTTGTATTCAAAATGGCGAAATTCTGTCACACAGACGCGCGCGCGCGTGCTGTCAGATTACTTGCCTGCTCATCGAGTGCGCGCTTCCCCGCGTTCAATCCACTAGCCTTGACAAGACGAGCATTGATTAAAATAAGAAGAAGAATGAAAACTGGAGATTGTTGTCATACCACAAGCATTATATATCCACTGACACATGCTGAGAGGCTTTGTCTTTTATTTGAATATTCGCCATGTTCGATATTCTTTAATCATCAGTTCCGTACCCTCTCCTTTCCCCCCATCTTCTTTAATAGGATCATTCCTCATTTATTTTCACTCTTTTACTTCTAATGAAATTGCTCCCCATTGCACTTTGATAGCTTGATAGCTGAATAATTGAATAAAGGAATAATTATTTTTTTCTTCTTGTATGTTGAATTAGCATTAATAAAAAAAGGGGGACAATTTAAAAATGTGTTTACGCTGCAGTGCAATATTGGTTCTCAAGTGGGATTCTCAAATAGAAATCAAAATAAAAACGTAGGAATTAAAATGACAAATCTGAATTTATTTATATATGTATTATTTATTTTAAATTATTTTGCGTCAGCCTATTTGAGATTCCCTCTTGAGAGCCAATATCACATGCAAGAGGATTAAATCATTCCCCCCCGCGCGAGGGCATTTTGATGGCATTAGAATGGATTGAATATTCTAAGTTAAACAGAGCTTTAATTTGCAGCGACTCTGTCTCTGTACTGCAGAGTCTCAAGACCGGCATAGTTAAGAATCATCAGGAGCTTTTTTATTATGTTATGTCTATCTATTCAAGAATAAAGAATAAAGGTGATGAGGTTATATTTATATATGTGGGTCCCAGCACATATGGGCATTATAGGAAATGAAAAAGTAGACAAAATAGCTAAGAAAGCACTGCAAAAAGAGAGCATAGAAGCAGTCATCAGCCTTTCAAGATCAGAAGTAGCACAACAACAATTCAGAAAACATCATAACAACTCAGAAAACACAATGACAAATCCGAAAACAAATTAACAAGTCAGAAAACACAACGACAAATCAGACAAACCGGACTCAGTTTAAATGTATTGTATGAATTGCCCTTACTCTGGAATTAAAAATAGGGGTGTCTATTTACATTTAGTTAAAAGTAGCTGTATATCATCAGCTTCAGTGGTGCAGATGGATAATCGCATGTTCTTGGCTTTTTGACGCGATCGACCAGGGTCCGATCCCGCCTTTTGCCGAACTTTTTTTCCCTCCCTTTTCAAATCTCGTATTGTATGTATGTATGTATATCTTGTATTTTTGTTTTGAAGTTTTATACTTTTCTCCCCCTGGCAATTGTTTTTTGTTTGTTTGTTGTAATTTGTCCTTCTATCTTTTTCTTTTCTTATTTTAATGTTGTTTTATTGTGTGTTATTGTTCCTTGAATAAAAAAAAAAAAGAATATGATGACTAAAGTATATGGGAAATAACTAGAACCAGAAGATGGCAGTAATGCAACGTTAAGGATGCAAGCTGCCGTTAAAACCCAAAGAAGAAGAAGGGGGCGCTGCTTATCAACAACGGTTCTTAAACGATGACCGAGGACGCGACTATTCACAAAAGCAAGCGGTTCTCAAATGGATTTTTAGGTCACAATGGACCCATTTGACAGCTCCGATTCTCTGGAAGGGCCATCAAAGGCTGCGGCGACAAACGCAGAGGTACCGGTGCCGTGGTCGCGCTTCTCTGCCTGGCTCGAATGTGTGTGCGTCGTTACCTTCGACCTCGAGCTCGGACAAGCCATAGAGGTACACAAATTATGTGCATGTACCCCTAACATCTGTTTGCTTATTTGTTTGTTACACGCATAACGCTTTACAAGTGGGCAGTAATCTGACTGTGGAAAAAATGCTGTGACAGTGCAATAGTGAAACATTCTGATTGTAATATCGCCACGGTAACCACAGCAACAGCAGCATCTCTGTGTATCCCTAACATGTTTTATGTTGTTATCAGCTCGTTTACCCACATGATGTCAAACTCACAGAGAAAGAGGTAAGCTTAATTTGATTTAAATATTTGATTTATTTTCCAGCAGCAATATTGTAAATATATAAAGCAAAACTTGCTACAGCGATTTTCAAAACACTAATTTATTTCTAAAAGTACTAAAACCCTTCGCTTCCTTCTGTCTTTTAGAAAACAAGCATCTGTTACTTATCGTTTCCTGACTCATACTCAGGTAATGTGCTGGCACAGGCTGATCTCATCAGTGCTTTCATGATAAACAGCTGAAACATGAGCATTACAGCTCAATCACATGAGTGCATGTCTATCCTAGGATGCCTGGGGGACACACAGTTCAGCTTCAGACTGCGGCAGTCGGTGGGCCGCTGTAGCTCTTGGTTTGGACATGAGGATGCATACAACAGGGTTGCACCTGTGACCCTGCAGGTTAGAAACAGACTGGCTCTGAATTAAGACATTTCACAGCATCACAACTGATTGACATGTGCTTTGGACCTAAAAAGTCTGCATGTAAATGATCGTGCTGTCTTTCAGAAGGAGCATGCACATTTCCACGGGTATGTGTATTTCAGGCAAGTGAAAGATGTGTCTGTGAAAAGGGGTTACTTTCAGAAGGTGTGTAACTGAACTGAAGATACACGTTTGTTCTGGTTTCTCACTATGAACTGTTGCAGTCTAATTAGACTTTACACTTTAATTGAATGAATTTAGTCAAGGTCCTTGTGGTCAAATGATATACTGGAATAAATGACTGTTGTGTATTTTGATGTAATGGTGGTGAATTTCTATATCCCTAGTCTCTGGTGGTGGTGTCCAGACTGCCGTTTGTGAACCTTTTCCATTCGCTGCTGCAGGTCATTGCTCCTGAGTACTTTGAAAAGCACGAACCTTGTCTGGAGACAGGTGAGGCCAGCTTGATTTGATTTTTTTTAAAAATCACGTTTCCACAAAACAAATATTAAGGAGCACAAGCCTTTTCAACATTGATAATAATAAAAATATTTCTTGAGCACCAGCATATTAGAATGATTTCTGAAGGATCATGTGACACTGAAGACTGGAGTAATGGCTGCAGAAAATTCAGCTTTGCCATCATAGGAATAAATTACATTTTAAAATATATTTGATCCAATAAATGCAGCCTTAATGAGCATGAGAGACGCAAAACACATTCGGAAAAAACTTACCTACTCCAAACTTTTGAATGGTAGTGTTTATATAATATATATGTGTATATGTATGTACATAAACCAACCAGGTAATTCAGTAAAGATTTACATACACATGAAAACCACCCAAGGAAACAAACATTTGCATGCCGGCATTCATATACTGCCTTTAAAATATCAAACAGAAGGCTCAAGTTATTTCGGTGTCTTTAATCTCAAATCCTCAATCATGTTGGTCAATATCTTTCAGTCTGTAATGAGATTGACCAATGGCCAGCGCCAGTACCAGGACAGACACTCAACTTACCTGTGATGGGTGTGGTGATGCAGGTGAGGATATTATGGATGGAAAAACTCTTCAGAACGAACATCATTCTCATACATTTTAGTAAAACGACACTTACAGCATGGTATTTGGTGTTTTTTGATGTCTTACCAATTTGATGTCTTATGTAATTTTGTTATTAATCTGTCATCTGTTCAGTTTATCAAATGCTGATTTTTGGCTTTGCAGGTTAGAATTCCCTCAAAAGTCGAAACACCTGGAGGAAGCCCTGTAAAACAACCACAAACAGAGGTGCCTACCATATTTTATTATGGTATTATATCATATTTTACTATGACCGTCATGCACACACATGCTTTTATTTTAACATACGATTGATATGCGGTTTCATTTGTCCAGAATCTGCTCCCTGCCCCCACGGTTCTTCCATCAGTTCACGAGTTGGATCATTTTAAGTGAGTATTACACTGGTTGTACATGTTATCTGTAATTACTAAACCATCTGTTGATTTTACAGCCGTCACTAACAGCTGCCCTAATTGACCTTCATGTAATCAGATGTTTCCAGTCAGTCTTGATTCACGTGCAGATGCTCTGGGAGCTCATGTTGCTAGGAGAGCCAGTGGTTGTCATGGCACCCTCTCCAACCGTCTCCTCGGAGACTGTGCTGGCCCTAGTCAGGTGTGGACATTGCGTTCTTCAATTTCTCCTTCCAGAAACACATGAACAAAAGTTATTATTAGGAACTTATAATAGTGACAATGACAGCAGATAGGGTTTCTATTGGTCTGTTTCTATTAGTTTTTGTGAAATAGCAAAAGCATTTTAAATATAAACATTTTCTTGTTAATGTCAGTTAATAAAAAAATATTGTTAGGGCATAGTGTATATTTTATATATGTTTTATATTCACTGTTTAGTGCTATCGCCCCACTGCGCTACTGTGGTGATTACAGACCTTACTTCACCATTCATGACAGTGAGTTCAAGGAGTACACAACCAGGACTCAGGCTCCGTAAGCAAAAACTTACACGCCACCTTAGTTCACCCAAAAATGAAAATACTGTAATTGTTTACTCACCATCATGTCTTTCAAAAGATAATTTTAAAGAATGATTTAAGCCGTATAATGAAAGTGAGTGGGGACTGGAAATGTCAAGGTGCAAAATAACAAAAAGGCATCATCCTGTTCCTTCCGGCAAAGCTATCATGACTTGGAAGCTTGGAATATAGCACACATTAATGTATAGACCAGTCTTATGGTGCTTTTTGTAATTTAGTAGTTGACAAAGTCCCCAAAAAACAGCAGGCAGGGTATTCTTCAAAAATTCACCTTTTTCATTTTTGGGTGAAACCTTGACTACTTTAATACCCCTGTAGAAAACAACATTTGCGGTGCTGGACATGACTCTTTAGTCTATTTTCTGCTTTCAGGCCCAATGTGATACTTGGTGTCACAAATCCTTTCTTTATAAAGACCCTTCAATGCTGGCCACACATTATTCGCCTCGGAGACCTGAAGATGTCTGGTAAATAATGCTTCATTTTAGCAACAAGGCTTCTCTGACAGTCCTTTGATTCCATATGATTTTGGCATATTACACATGAGAGAGTTCTGAATGGAGCTTTTCTGCAGGTGATTTACCAAAGCAAGTGAAGGTCAAGAAACTGGCAAAGTTAAAAACACTGGATACTAAAACAGGTACGCAAGCAATCTTTGCAGCAGTCTTATGTGCTAAATAAAACGTGAACGTGCACACACACACACACACACACACATATATATATATATATATATATATACATATACAATATAAACTTTTAATGATTTTTTTTTTTTACCTATACAATAAAGGTATATACACAGCATACAAGACCTTCCTACACAAAGACAAAGCCTTCATTAAGCGACTCTTAAAGGTAGGCTACAAATGTTCATTCTTGAAACTTGACATTTACGTTAAAAGTAAAATGATGCAGATCTCCTTGCTTTGGTTTTTCATTTTTACTTTTAGGGTATCCAGAAAAAAAGGCCATCAGAAGTGCAGAGTGCCATTTTGAGGCGGCATCTGTTGGAGCAAACGGAGAGTTTCATTCTTCCGCTGGTAAAAACAAGTTTAAAAACATTTTTGCACCTTTTGTTCAGAGCTTAATGACCGCTTTACTGTTTCATTTCATTCACTAAGCAGTCTTGAGCGTCACACCCATTCTTTTCTTTAGGAACGATATTTGGAAAGCCTAATGCCGCTGCAGAGATCAATGTCTCCATGGAAGGTCGGTTCAAGATGATCTAGATCAGATAAGGAAGACATATATGAGGGATTGATTATGTTGGACCTCAAATATAAAGTGAAGTCTTGGGATTCAAGTGGCAATGAAACGGTTGTGTATGTATGTCTCAGACCCCTCCTCAGATCCGGTCCTTCTCTCAGGATGAGTTCATGAAGACCCTGGAGCAAGCGGGGCCGCAACTAACACTGAAAGGAGATTGGACAGGCCTGTACAGGTAACATGCCAGGGTTGCGTTTCCCGAAAGCATCATATGCCCATTGGCATCAATAATCTGTACAATCTACCTAGGCTAATGCTCCTTTGAGAAACGCAGCCAAGGACATTGGGGAACTAAAGACTGAAACTTCCTGTTAATTGTTCTTATAATATAATAAATGTTTCTATGCGGCTTTCAGGCGTTTTTTCCGTTCACCAAACTTTGATGGCTGGTATCGGCTCAGGCACAGAGAGATGACTCAGAAAGTGGAATGTCTTCATTTAGAGGCCATCTGTGCAGCTGTGAGTATGATATTGGATCTGGAATCGGTCTCTGCTTTACTTCTTAAATGTTATTATTATCATCAGTTCAGACATTTTGTGCAAATAAAAGAATGTTTAAAGGATTCGTTCACCCAGAAATGATACACCCTCAAGTCGTTCCAAACCTGTATGACTTTTTCTTCTGTTTAACACAAAAAGAGGAATTCTGAGGAATTGAACTGGTCGCTCTTTTCCATGCAATTACACTAAATGTAAACAAAGGCTTTGAAGCTTCTAAAAGGATGCAAAAGCACCATAAAAAGCATCATAAAAGGATAATAACAGTAGTCTGTATAACTAACACTACCGTTAAAAAGTTTGATGTCAGACAGTTTGAAAGAAATTAATGCTTTTATTTAGCAAGTATGCATCAAGTTGAAGAAAATTGACTGTAAATACATTTATAATGTTACAAAAAAATCTGTTTCAAATAAATGCTGGGTTTTTTTTTAAATGCTGTTTTTTTTATTTTTTATTTATTTTTTTTACTTTCTATTCATCAAAAAAATCCTAAACAAAATATATTGTGATTTCCACAAAAATATTAAGCTCCACAGTTGTTTTTAACACTGATAATAATATTAAATGTTTCTTGAGATTTCTGAAGGATCATGTGCCATTGAAGACTGGAGTAATGGCTGCTGAAAATTCAGCTTTACCATTACATTAATAAACTACATTTGAAAATATATTTAAATAGTGCTGTCAGTCGATTAAAAAATAACTAATTAATTGCACTTCTGAAATTAATCGCGATTTAATCCCACCTAACATTAATGTTTTTAAATATACTTTTATATTGCAATAATTTTGCATTCAATCTTCAAATTAATGTAAAAGCAACATACAATATATTTTTAATATTTGTTTAATGGCATCTTTTTTATGACTGAAGGCGGGTATCGCTACTGATGTCTCTATGAAATTGTTTTTTTTTTCTCTCTCTAATATTTAACCATTAACTATAGTAGTATAATTGAGAGCTATCAATTTTAACATTTATTAGCGTTTAAAAAATAACTTCTAATTTAAGTGAACTTAAAACAATCTTCACATAAACCCATTATAATAAATGTCATATTTAGCTACCTGTGCCCTTCAGCAAGTAGGAAATACACAGAAATTGAATAGTTATCAAACACTAAATTCTAAATTAAATATAGAAACATCCTTAAAGCTACAAAAGTTAATGATTTCCTCCTTTTTTTCTTTTGTTCTTTGATTCACAACAGCTGGGTTATTAGGTTATTTTGGCTGCTTTAAGAGCTGCCGCTGCTGAACATGACGTGGATCTGACACGCATCGTATTTTCTCACAACTCTTTACCTTTTCTGACCCACTTCAGGTCTTAAAGTCTCTATTAATGAGCTGACGAGTTCACTGCATTTCAGAGACATGTTCTTAAATGTGACTCATATATAACAAATACTTACATGCACAGTTTTAAGGCAGCTTTAATCATCTTTTTGGTAACTTCATGAGTTGACTGATGACATAACTACGACATTACATGCTCGTAATTTCTTTTGCACTTTAATATGAAGTGATATAGGCTACATCGCACGTAGCCGCATTACCTTTTTCCGCGCTCGTTTGACTAGCGCCTGGTGCTGAGGCGAAGTTGGAGTGCTCGCCTGAAAAGTCTCCCGTTTGATGTGGTCGTAAAGACGTTCTGCGTCTAAATAAATGTAATTCTTTTCAAGAAAAAAGAGACAGAAGCAGCAGTTGTGAGTGGGGTGATCGCAAAGAGAGGAACAGACTGAAATTTAAGTGGTTATTTACAGAATCTTCACCTCCAGTCTGCTGTTAACTATTGTGACTAGATCATCGAACCATTTTGTGAACAAATCATTCAAAAATCATTCAGGTTTTGTGACTCGGGATCAACTGATTATTAAAAGGAACTCAAAGGAATGATTGGCTCGCGTCTCTATTTCTCTAATGAACTTTAATAAACCAAAGATAACCGGATGTGAAGATTTTCAGTAAATAACGACTTAAGTTTCAGTCGGTTTTTAGTTGCATGGAAAAGCGCTACCGAAATCCTTCTTTTGTGCTCCACAGAAAGGAAATCCTACAGGTTCAGAGCAACATGAGGGTGAGTAAATAATAACTGTAATTTTAATTCATGAATTACTCTTTAATGGTTTAATTTGTTTTGTTTTCATTTAATTCAGGATCTGTTTACATGGACCAAAGACAAATCAGAGGTGGAGATTGTTGACCTCACCCTGAAGCTTCGGGAGAAACTGGTGAGTAAAACAGTTAAAAACCGCCGCTTTTTAAATATGATGGGGATAAAAGTGAATTGTTTGTTTTTTTACGATAAAACATTTGCCTTATATCTCTTCTTCTGTATGTCCTACCCAGATGAGAGCTCGAAAACACCAGCTTCCAGTGAAAGAAGAACTTCTAGAGAGATTAGAGCAGTCCATCCAGACCATCATCAGCTCCTTGCCAGAGGATCTACAGACATTATTACACAGACAATGACAATCAGACCCACGTGAACAACACTGACCAGCAGATCCACTGATACATACATAGACTGTCTGTCTAGAATATACCAGCTATATATGAACCCATAACACCCGCACAGGTATCAACCCACATTTCTTCTGCTGGTAAACCCATACACTACCTGAGAGGCCTTTCATTTTGGATGTACAGTACTGGAGAGAAACAACAGATACTGCTGCTATATGAGGTCCTAGACGACACATGAAGAACACAGAAAACATTGATACTTAGATTAAAATCATTTTAATTCCTCAGCTAGACTTTACGCCAGATTTTAGATGTCTGCTAAATTTAACATGCACCAAGTATTTAAAGCCTGCAGTCAGTTAGCACTGCATGACATTTATTTTATAAATCAACATTTAGTCAAATAGATTAATTAAAGGATGAACAAATTGACTTTTAATTGGAATATGCAGCATGTATTTAGCACATGCAGTGAAGTTCATAAATCTGTATGACATGTTCATTTAAGATGCTTTTATGATTATTTATTAAATATCAATGCTTTTATTCCAGTGATGTTTTTAGTTATTATTTAGGGACATTTTGAAGCTCATTGGCATACCTGACCCATAAAAGACACTGCAGCACTTTTGGCTATTATTTATTTATTTATTTAATACCTTACCTGATCTTTTACCTTTGCACAGGTACACCTCTACTGTGTCGTTTGGCCAGTTTTTATTATTTTTATATTAGAAGCTGACTGTCCAGGCATTTTTTTCACCATTTAGATTTGATTTTATTGAGGGCTAGATTAACAGACTCTGGATTAAGATTTATCTTAATACTAGACAGATTTTAATTGATAATTATTATATATAATGGGATTTATGAACGACTGAGCAGTGGCAGTGAACTTGGTCACATGAGAGAATTAAATGATGTTTCATAAAGAGTTTTGTGATTGGAGAATGTCAAATTCAATGCCATTAATACGCAATACAATCATGTATAAGCTACTCCGTCTGTATATGTGTTTGCCAGTCATGAATGTTCCTTTTTTGATACAACCTGAACCTTATTTGAAAAGGAAATGTTGGTTGTTCTCTTTAGTTGTGCTATGGCACTCTTGATTCACAGTTTTGAACCTCATGCTGAACATTTTATTCATATTTAGACTTTTTCAGTTGTAGTTTGTGTAGGTGCCTATTCTGTGATTTTTTTTGTTTGATTATTTTTCTTTCCATTCACTGAAATGGTTCTAAGTTTAATTTTAAAATTTGCCACTTCTGCAGTATTATAAAATGTTTATTTGAAAGAGCCATATTATGTTTTTATGGTTGGGATTGTTTTATTAAAGTACATGTTTGAACAGAACAGCAGTAAGAGTTTGGATGTAAATTATATTTTAGCCATATGCTTATTCAAATGTGTTACCTTGAGAAACCCCTCAACACTGCACATTTTGGGAAGACTTCCTGATGTGATGCACCTGATTCGACTCATCTGCTTATTAGTAGTGTTCATAAACTTAACTGTATCAGTGTATCAGTGGAGCCACATTCAAAATGTGCAGCTGGGAAACTCCAAGACCAAGACTGAAAGTACTGGCTGAATTTAAATATCATACTACTCTTGATTATTTATTTGTAGAAATATTAAAGAGTAGTATTGTATTTCATATTCAGCCACTGTTTTAAATGATGCAAGGAATGCCTATGTTTTTAATAACAAGTACACACATTGCAGATTCCTCAATATACTGTAGTTTAGTTTTTATAATATATAATAATATATTTTATAATATATAATAATAATCAACTAAGCACTTGGTAGTAGAGAAAAAAACATTTTCAAGTTTTTTTTTATTGACATGATTATTCCAGCTTATTTAAATAATACTAAAAGCTGAAACATTAAAATAAAAAACTATCTTGAAATGATTGTGTTGTGTGACTGAATTTTTTTTTTTTTTACGTTTTGAAATTTTTGCAAAGTTGCTTAGACAGTGGAGTGATGGATTTTACAAATTGTAAGCTGAAAAATAAATGTTTTTAAATGTATATATTGTATTAATACACTAATTTAATTTAAAATAAAATGCTGAAGAGAGCAAAATAGTTTATTGTTTTGGTCAAAATTGAAAATACACATTTATCTGACTGATCAAATTTATAAGACAAACCAAGATAAGCGTGAAAATGATCTGTAATTAGTTTTCTCAAAAAAGCATAATGTATGTACAGCTTATATAAAGGAATATCAGTGTAGTCATCAAATGCCCTAGGCTGTCAGGAAAAAAAGAGAGCTAACTACAATATATCCCCAAAAAATCTGCATGATGTTAAAGTAGCTCACATCCTTCTTAAGATAAAATTCAAACTGCTATAGGTTTACAAACTCAAAGCAACTGTTAATATTTTATTTTTTTAATTAATGCATATTCCCAATAAAAACCCTGGAATTAGCTTTGTGTGTTAAATATATACATGGAGTTCCTCATGACAATATATGAAAAGTGCCGTTGTCTGAAGGCATTACTTGCTAGATTCCCTCTTAAAAGCCTGTTAGAGCTTTTTAAGAACATTTTCTTTGGCACAACCCCTTCTGTAGATGTTAACCTTTCAAATTAACCAAATAGTGTTACTTTACGTCTCCAGTTATTATACAAAATCAATGACAATAGTGTCAAGATCTAATTATGTTGCACACACAGGAGGGAAGTTCTGGATGACTGGTTAACTGTTACATGATCCAATACTGGATTCAAACCATTCATAGACTGTGTAGTATCCTGTCATGCAATAGTTGGAGTACATATGTCATTATCGGAAACATATCCACATTGTTGCTCCTGATATACCTTCTCACACTGCACACAAAAAAAGTGGTCAATAAAAATAAATGAATATTTATCTCAGCACATTAGAACCGTAAAGTCACTCTTCAAGTCGTTTGCATCACCTCATCCCTGTCGTCCACCAACTGTGGTGTTGCTGCTTCAGCACAGCTTGTTTCTCTTGAGGACTAAAGTGCAAAATAGTCAAAATGGCCGTGAGCGTCTGCTGGCGCCCTCTGGTGTCATGGAGCGTGAGAAACCTATAAATGACGTTCTTGAGATACTCAAGGTTGGCCCCATCTCTCCCCTGGTCCCGAAAACGTTTGTCCAACTCACACCGTAGCTCAGCGACCTCTTCTTCATGCCTCTCGCCATTAGCAATCAGCTTTCCTTGTAGCTGATGCAAGTCTTCCTCTAGACGATGCTTTTGTTTGCGCAAGGCGGCCACATCCACCTCCTTGCGTGCCAGCTGTTCGGCGTACAACAATAAAGTCGGCTCGTTGGGCCCAGCTAGTTTTAGAGCTTGAGCAATAATGTCGCTTTCTTCTTGTTCTGGATCATCTTCCTCTAGGTCACCTCCTTCTATCGCTGTGCTGTTATTTGTAGCTTGCCTTCCAAAGCCGATCACCGTGGCCGCCCGGAGTCGCTCCAGCTCAAGGTCTTTTTCCGCAAGAAGAGCCATGGTGCGATCTCTCTGTTTGTGCAACTCTTCCTCAAGCCGCAAGAAGTTCTCCCTGTGTTGAGCCTCCAGCCTCTCAACTTCCTGTTTGTGGGTCTGCTGGAGTGCTACAAGCGCTTGTTGCCGCTCCTCCAGGTCCCGTTTGTGCTGGACTTCCGCTTCGTCGGAAATTATACGAAGGTTGATGTACTTCTCCTTCAGCTCGGCCAGCTGGTCACGTGCTTCTTCTAACTCTTTGGCCTGGTTGCCATCTTTTGTGTTCTTGTTTTTCAGAACACCCTGCGCCCTCATTTTGTAGCGCTCAAACTCCTCCCTAAGCTGCCGGAGCTCTTGCTGGTAGTGAAGCACTGAAGCCTTCTCGCTCTCTGAGACTTCCTGGTCCTTTTCTCCTTCCAATAGCCTTTTGATGTCCAGACTCTGGTCTTGAGATCTTTGCGCAGCCAGGAGGAGTAGCTTCTTCACCTTCTCGAGTTTGTCCTTTAACACGTCCACGTTCAAGCTGGTGTCATCGATGTTTAGATCGGAGGTCGTTGACCTGTTGACTGCTGCGATGGCGAGGGTTTTATTCTCAGTGTCGAGTTGAAGGATGCGTTCTCGCAGCCTCTGAGCGTTTTGTTGGTCCTTCTGTCTGGCCTTCTCGCAGGCACCCAGTAGTTCGGAGAGCTCAGACACTCGCTCCTCAAGGCTGGCAACTCGTGCTTCCTCCATTTGTGCCTGTTCTCGGAGACGCTCATCTGCTTGTGCCACCTGCAAAGATACACAAAGGAAATTAGAATAAATGTTTAGATTAGCATCAGACCAGGGGTGTCTGATCCTGCACCTGGAGGGTGACTATCCTGTAGAGTTTAGCTTCAATCTTAATTTAACACACCTAAACCAACTAATCAAGGTCTTCAGCATTACAAGAAAATTCTAGGCAAGCGTGTTTGAGATTGGAGCTTAACTCGACAGGTCATTGGCCATCCAGTAGCAGGACTGGACACCCCTGCAATAGACTGATTATATCAGCCAGTCTAATTAATTAAGAATAAGGGAGTAGACGTTTATCTAGGGGTGCATCAATATTAAAATTAACAGCCTGTTTAATCAAGTGGGTGGAATGAATAAATGCTGGAAACCTAACATTCCGTGTACTTCTATGCAAAACTGTATGATACGACTTCTTTGAAATGTACCTTTCTAATTTCCTGCTGAAGTTGCTGGTTGAAGTGAGCTTTGAGCTCTGCAATCTCTTGCTGGAGCTCCTCGACACGTGGATCAGGTTTGCTCTTCTCCACTGCTGCAGCCTTTAGGCTCTTCCTCAGCTCCTCTCGTTCCTGAGTGATCTCTTTCAGCTGCGTTTCATAATCTATCCCTCGGTCTGCCGCCTGCATGGCTTCAGCCAACGCCTCTCGCGAATCCTCCAGTTTGAGTTCGGCATCCTGTCTCAGTCCCCTCTCCTCCTGCAGGAGTTTCTGGAGCTCTCGGAGCATGAGCGCATGATCGCCCTGCTCCTGCTCCCGTTCGTGCTGCTGGGTGATGACACGGGCTTTGCTCTCTGCCAGCTGCTCCTGCAGGCTCTGAATCTCCACCTGGTGCTGCTTCTGCTCTTCCTCCATCCTGGCCTGCAGCTCCTCCAGTTCCTGCTTCATCTTGCGCTTGTCCGCCTGGAATGAAGCTTCCATTCTGGACTTTTCTTGAGTGACGGTGGCTAAGGAACTGGTCAGAGTGGACAGCTGCGTCTTTAGTTGGATGACACGGCGGTCTGTGTCCGCTGCAGGTGGCGGCGTCTCCGTACATCCACTGCTGCTGGAGCTGATACCACTTTCAGACCCACTCGCCTCCTCAGATTGCTGGGGCATTGCGTTTGCGATAGTCCCAGCGGTGGCTCCATCTACAGCACAGCTTTGGTCCTCCTCTATTTGGTCTCCTTTAGTACTGTTGCTGGTCACGCTAGTGGCCGTTTCAGCAGAGGCTGCTGTATCCAGGCTGTCTTCGCTGTGAAGTGAAGATCGGTCATCCCCAAGGTCAGAGGGCAAAGGTCGTTCAGCGTTTTCTGAACCTCCACCAAACGTCAGGTTATCACCACGCTGGCTTAAATCGACCTCTTGTGAAATGGTCAGAACCTTCAGGCTGGCTTCCAACGCCTCTTTTTCCTTAAGTAGGCTTTGGTACGCTCTGACAACATCTTTAAAACGTGTCTGATACTTCACAAGCTGTTTCTTCTGCACTTCGATGGTTTCCAGCAGTTCCTTCTTGCTCGAGCCTCCACCAAAGCTCATACTGAACTTCTCCATGGTGTACCAGTGTCAGTCAGGTTTCATACTCTCTGATGTGATCTCCACCTGCAAAGTAAACATGATATTTGGAGCTTGCTTCAAACCTAAACATCTCCAAAATGCTTTTGTGAATAATGTTTGTTTCACACTTCAGAATTATCTATGGAAAGCAAAAATTATAAAATGAAAATAAAACAAACACTCATAATTTGACATTAAACTTTTTCGTGTTTGTTGTTAGTCTTTGAGACTGCTTTTGCCTGGTATTTTAAGAAAAAACTGACTATTTATTGCTCATATCTTTGATTGTTGCCTTTAACTAAATAGTTAGCAAATTTGTAAAGGTGTGAGAATACATACATTATATTAAATCCCACATCATGACATTTAGATCTAAAGCACTGTGCAAAACATGTTAAAAGAATGTGCGCTGCTTCTTTTTTGGTTTTTATTGGTGGTTGGCAACCTAACTTATTGGTGCATTACCGCCACTGACTGGACTGGACTATGGATCAGGATATTTGCTTGTATATAGGATGAAAATAAAACATAAAAACCAAGCAAAACAAAGAAACAAACTAGAAACAAAACAAATAGAATAAAAAAAAAAAGACTATATTATTTAATTTAATTTACTTTCTTTTAAACATTTAATAATATCTTACTAGCTGTTTACCCTAATAGATCTGATAAAGTAAAGTCATGGTGTTTTACCTTCTTCAATGAATAAGGTGACATCTCTCAATGTTGTATTAAAAACCAAGCAAAACAAAGAAACAAACTAGAAATAAAACAAAACAAATAGAATAAAAAAAAAAAAGACTATATTATTTAATTTCATTTACTTTCTTTTAAACATTTAATAATATCTTACTAGCTGTTTACCCTAATAGATCTGATAAAGTAAAGTCATGGTGTTTTACCTTCTTCAATGAATAAGGTGACATCTCTCAATGTTGTATTTCCTACAGTGAAGTAGTACATGATCAACTGCTTCTTGTTGGTAGTGTATTCATTCCCCAGTTGGGTGTTTTCCAATTTTATATAATGTACTGTTAAGTCCAGTATGACCTATTCTCATCTGAGTTAGGATACTTCCTTCTTTTCGATTCCTGCTCTCCCTCCTCCCAGCACAGACTTGTTTTTGTATATTGTATAAATGTCTACCTGTTTCATCGTCATCCCAATATACCTGTCATACTGACTGTGCATATGTTCTAATGAGTACTTTAGCTTCTGCTTTATTAATGGGACTTGTAGATCTACTTGCTTTATTCTTAGAGTTTGTTTAGCCAGAATATCCACCTTCTCATTCCCCTCCACACCAACATGAGCAGGAACCCAAATGAAACGTGTAGATATGCACATAACTTTTATATTGTACATCATACACAATATCTCATTGATAATATCCATCCTAAACAATGACCTGCCAGATTTGATACTTTCAAGTGATGAGTAGCTATCAGATGCAATGGCAGTGTTATTTATTTTCTTCTCCTCTATCCACTGCAGGGTCAATAATATTGCCAATAATTCTGTTGCACATACTGACAAATGATTGGTTACTCTTTTCTTAATATAAAAATCACTCAATGGGATATATACTGCTGCACCTGCATATCCCGTTTCAGGATCGTTGGATACATCTGTGAATAAAAACACTGATTTTGGGTAATGTTTCTCAAAATAATTCTGGACTATATACTATATACCATATTCGAAGTTGTTGAATTGAATTGTCAATTCAACAACTTTCAATTCCTGCTGCATACTGAGCACATTTGGCAAAGGGAATAACCAAGGAGGAACGGAAGAAATTGAGACTGTATTACTGTACTGTAATCGATGCAATCCTATATTTCTTGCCTTAGAATGTGCGGTTAATTTCATTTGCTGTTCATATAAGCGTATTTAAAGGAAGAAATATCGCATTACCCGAGTACGTGTCCTGTTTACTTGCAGCCGTCGCTTCCTGGTTGGGAAGTGACGTTTGAGTGAAAATTAAAAGTTTAAGAGTATTACAAAATAGTGCAGTACAAACCGGTTTTATATGGCAAATTATTCGAAATGTTATCGATAAAAATATCCATTTAACAAATATGAATCGAAATGCAAACATCGATTCCTTTCAGTTCTTTGCTTGTTGTAGTTAATTCGGTTCGCAAACTTAAACGGTGCCTACCGCCACCTATAGATACTGTAGAATGCAGTAAGGAGTCTCATTACTTTCAAAATATTTTAATACACACGCAAAGTTACATACAACAAATGTGCATACTTTTAGGGCATTGCATGTTATTTGATATTCCGGTGTGTCAGTATTAGCCTGTAAAGCCCATGTGCCATAATAGTCAGCCCCCCCACCCCAACCCACCCTTTTTACATTCGAGCAGTTTATTGAACCTTTAGATAAAATCTTTAAAAAATAAAATATATAAATAAATGATAAGAACAATAATAATAATAATTTTTAAAAAATGTAGTTTTTATTTTTAGATTTTTTTGTTTTCAGTTTAAAGCTGCAGTCCGTAACTTTTTTGTGTTTATATAAATAATAAGCGAGTACACCATGAATCCATTTTCCAAACCGTGTTTTTCTTTAGTTAAAATATTCGAAATTTTGTTTTGTGCTTTTCTGTATTTTTCTTAGTTTTATTTTCATTTATATACTTTGAATTCATTTTTATTTCAGTTTTAGTTATTTTAGATACATCAACTAAATGACAATGAGAAATGTTTCCTTGGCAATTGGCTGAAGTATAGGTTTATTTATGTATATTTTATTTTTATTCAATATTTATTTTATTTCAAGTAACTAAATGTCTCTTTGATTTAGTTTTAGTGGAGTTTAACTATAATAATCTTGCTCCGCAAAAATATGCAATTTGGTGCAGTTATTTGTATGGCAAAATGCATAAGAAATTCTGATAGTTTGTAAATCAATGAGATCTTTATAACAGTATAGCAGCTACTTCTGTGCATTGTGGGATTGAATGTGGCTGTCCCTCAAAAGGGTAAGGTTCTTCTTCTTTGTTGTGCTTAACTGGGATTCGCAAAATTAAAAGTGCACTACTGCCTCCTACTGTTATTGTAGCATGCGCGACTGTCTTTCCGTAAACATAATTCTGGAATATTTTACACCATCAGAATACTCTTAAAATATGTGAGAAATGATAATCACACAAAAAAAAGCGAAATGAAAATATAATATCAAATTTTGTAATTTTTAAATTATTTTAACACTTTTTCTGTGGACCACCTAGCACTGCCTTGTGTACTCTTAAAAACCAAAAAAAAAGCGAAATGAAAATATAATATCAAATTTTGTAATTTTTAAATTATTTTAACACGTTTTCTGTGGACCACCTAGCACTGCCTTGTGTACTCTTAAAAACCCATGACACAGGCCATGTAAAGTAAACTCTTCAAAACCTTAGGAGTGATTTGTGCTATAACGGCCAATACTTTTTAGTAAACTGTGCAATGTGGCACTGTTTCTGAAAGTATCTCCCTCTGTTTTTATTCAACTACAGGAGGTTGAACTGAGATAGGCAGTGCTAACAAACAGGACCTGCCACAATCTGGCAAGCCGGACTGTGAGTTTATTGTCATGTTTACTTAGTGTCTTAACAGTAGTACATCTTCTTTCCTTACTCTTTTGCTTTTACAAATGTTGAGAAATTGCTTAATTTTCCCTCGTTGTCATGCAGTGAGTGTTATCTTCAAGCCACATGTGCCACCCAAGGAACGGATCTCAATGAGGGACTGGTTATCTAAAGAATATGAAAACTATCAAACTATTAAGAACGAAGAATTGCTAAAAGTGCTGGACCACTAATCAGATGCAAATAAATAACATATGATATGTTGCAGTACAGGACATGTCGAAATGTTCTTTGTTTGTTTCAACTTCACATTCAGGACTTTGTAATCAGTTCCTGTTCTTACGCACTTTTCTGTATTTTCCTTCCCAATTTCCCCTTTCTTTGTCACCCTTTCCATATATTACTTCTTTAAAAGCCTCATCATCTTATTAGTCATTTGACTTTGTATAGTATAAGTATGTATTGCTATTAAACAAAAATGAAAGATTAAGGTAAGTATATTGTACCATTTTAGGGGAAGACGGGGATAAAAGCATAAAGGACTACATAATAGGAAAACCAGTTTCCTTCTAGTTCATGAAGGACTATTACATTTTAATAGCGGTTATGATGCAGTAACGGTCATTCAGATAAGATTATGTCACACAAAAGCACTTTTGTCAATTCAGTAAAATTAGTAAAAGAAAAACTATTCTTGTTCTACATTACGTTCATGAGTGGAATCATTTAAATGTATTTTTATATGTATTTATTTATATTTTACTTTAAGTATTCAGTATAAGCTTTATGCATGGTAAAACCATGACAAACATTTTAAGCTCTAAAATAAAGGTTATAGTATAATATTGAATTATTCAGCATTATAAATAATAATTCAATGCTTTACTTTCTACAAACCAAAAAAAAGAAAGTAAAATATGCATAGTACTTTATTTAATATATTATTGTTAATGCAATTATTCAAAGATGTGATTTCAAGCATGTTAACTGAACACATTTGGAAATAGACTGTAAAAAGGGTTCAGTGCACTTACATTTCAGCTTTCACAGATCCAAGGGAAAATAAATTCATAACTCCTCACTACAAGGTCTCACACTGGAATATGAAACTTCTAAAGAAATTATAACACCCAGTGTAACATTGTCAAAGAATGCATGTTTGTATACATGATTCCAGTCTATTATGATTCCTGCATAAAAATATGATGTGATAAGCAGGTCCTTAAGGTCCTGTATTTGTATGAGGAAACCATAGGTTAATGGATTGTATGGGTTAAATGTAAATACACATAAATTATAAGTCCAGTAATACCATAAATGTGACAACTCAAGCACAAATGGGGGCTAAAATATTGACAGCATTTACTCCTGCATTAAAAGACAGATGCATCCCTTAACCAGTCTGTAACATTGTAATTATACAAGAGAAACACATGAACTTACTCTGGCTCAGGTCAAATACACCTGACACCACCCCCAAATCGGTGTAATTAAATCTTTTACAAAAGAAATTGAGTGTGATTGTGCTAAACATCAGATGGTTGTAATGGCTGGGTCATTTCAATGTGAGGGCACCATTTTGAGCTTGTAATAATGGGTAAGATCAGTCCATATTGTCCTCTTTACTACACAATAACAGGTTCCCGCTGGTTGTTCTGCCTTTTGACTACAAAAACTTTCTGTCCGGAGATGGTCACAGCATAAACGTAGTCTTCAAACATCACTGTGAAAAACACAAAACAAAACACAATATAACATCAGGATATTTACACCATTGTTTTAAGCATAATTTTGTTAATATAAAAAGTTTATATATATATACATATATATATATATATATTATATATACACATATACACACACATATATATATATATATATATTTATTTTTATTTATGTAATATAAATAATATATTACATTAATCTGTCCTATTTGTTTGGACAATTCTATTGGAATTTGCTCTTTAAAACTCAAGATTATTTTTCAACACATTTCATCTCATTATGTCATGTGGTTGCAACATGTAAGGTGATGAACTTTACTGCACATTAAGTGTTTCATGACTTACCGCAAGTACACCCTCCTCACTAATAACCAAATACCCAATCTGATCGGGTATTCTCTCTAAACCTTGGGTCAGAGCGGTGGTCTGCAATTCAACACAAAATAATGCAGGAAATAAACATTAGCAGAGCTTATCTGGCTAAGGGTTTCTCAGAGCTTACTGCTTATTTGATCACATTATTTACAATCTCTATAACTTTTCTGTTTTCCGTACGCATGCGCACACCACAGCAAAACCTTTTCATCAAAAGAAACATTAAGCTGAACAAATGCCCCCAAAGTAAACCTTATATTTACCATTTTTAGGCAGTGCAGATGAATTTACACTGTCTTCCTTCACACCCCGCCTCACGTGACTGACAAGCAGGCGTCGCGTGTTTATAACGTCGTATCAGAAGGTAGATGGCTTTTTCTGTAAATTTGACATGCCCTGAAATCTACAACAAATGATATATCCGCAAAATGATTAGAATATTTTTTATGATTACGGAATTCTGACAGTGTTTAGGCTGTTAACGCACATAATCTGACTCAGGATCAGATTTGCTGTCATAATCAGCACATTAACACGAGCAGCACAGATCCCAGATCAGCGGCGTTTACGGATTAGTCAAAGCGGAAGTGCCGCTCTCCAGTAGTCAGCTGATTAAAGCATATGATCCTGCAGGACGGAAAAAGAAACATTTCATCCATTCCGTCTGTTATTTGAGCAAATATAAGAAAAAAGACAAAATGCCTGGACGGGGGAAATTAATCGCCGTTATAGGGGATGAAGACACGTGTACCGGATTCCTCCTCGGAGGGATCGGAGAGCTGAACAAAAACCGAAAACCCAATTTCTTGGTGGTGGAAAAGGACACTAGCATCACAGAGATAGAGGAGACCTTCAAGTAAGACAGGATTTGATGTCTGAATGATTTAAGATCATACCTATTACAATCCAAATAACAGCCATAAAAAATGTGCAATCATATATGTATGAGATCTTGCCTATGATCTATCTATCTATCTGTTATGTCCGTTATTAGACATCATAGCTGTATATATGTCCCTATTACTTTACCATTTTATAGTTTTAAATAATCAAATTTTGACTTAGAATAGTAGTTTGCATAATTTATAGTACACAGGTCATTTTTTGACTTGAAATTATATTTGTTCTTCATTTCCAGGAGTTTCCTGGCTCGCAGTGACATTGGCATCATCCTCATCAACCAGTTCATCGCAGAGATGATTCGTCATGCTATAGATGCCCACATGGAGTCAATCCCAGCCGTTCTGGAGATTCCTTCAAAAGAGCATCCGTATGACGCCTCCAAAGATTCCATCCTGCGACGGGCCAAGGGCATGTTTTCAGCAGAGGACTTCCGATAAGCCGATACCCCTGTGGGGTCACGGTCTGACCCGCGGGCAGACGTGAGAGTAAACGAGTTTTACTTCTTGATCTCATCCATCTTGCTGAAGCTGGAACCAGTATTATAAAGATTAAATAATGATGTGTTGTTAATGTGATATTCTGTGATGTGTATTTTACCATTCCCCAAGTTTGAAGAAGAGGACATTTTTTGTCAATGCTCCTAATAATAATTAAGTTATGTATAATATAATTAATTATATTATATATAAAAATGACAAAAAAGATATGTGTTATTTTACCCGTTGTGTAATAGACATTATATAACACAAGAATTTATTATAAATGCTGTCTATACCTTTAATTTTTAAATTCTTTAATTTGAAAGCTGGTAATATTGGACTGCAAAACCACCGTTCACTTATTGACCCCATTTAAATCAGTCTCAAATAACTTAAAATGCTAACTGGACATCTTTGGATCTCTGACATCTGTAAATAATATGATGTGCTATAAATGCACATTTTGTCATTGTATTGGCTGACACTTCGAGCACTGCAAAGAGCTTTACATGGTGGGATGTAATTAAAATTTGTTAACTTATGTCTTCAGAACTGTGACTTGCAGTTTATTAAAAGTAATGGAGTCTGACACTTTTTTGGTTTTGTGTGATGAATATCTGATGTCTAAAAAAATAATATATTATTTTACAATATATTAGTATTATATTATTAATGTATTGTATTAGTATGTTTTTTGCAATATATCATTTTATAATATATTAGTATACAATTAAAACATATATAAAAAGCCAAAAAAAGTACATAAAAAAAACTATAAAAAAAGTTTTTTTTTTCAATGAATTATACCACATGTATTATAAGAAACCAAGCATTTTGTTTGGCTTAATATATAAATACATGCTCTTTAAAAAAAAAAATTGGTAAACGACCATGTGTAAAATCCACATGAATAATCATAAGCAATGAGAAATGAACTGCTTTGGTGCCCGTTCCTGGAAATCATATTATCACTGTTATCATCACACACATGGAAGTCTAACTGAAACCTAAAAAACTGATTTATCAAAGTTTACTGTAGGTCTAAGAATGACCAAACACTGTGATGGCAGGAAGTGATTCATCGTTCTGTGGTTTCCTACACAATTACTATCAGTTCCCAAATGTTTTCAGAACATTGATAAGGTCACATCACTCTTCTCTGACTTATATATCTGTCCCTGTCTCGTTCAAGGACAAAATCTACTCCGGGTTTGTGGGAATCACACACAACTCAGATCCCAAAAAGATTAAGGAGCTTTTGAATGATCGGGGAATTGTATTGTGCTTCATTCACATTCAGTAAGTCAGTGCTGGTGATGAACAGCATGTTTCTTGTCTGGACTCTCAGTTCTCTCATCCTCAGCTACACTCTTGGGGTTCCCACCCTTAATAGCACAAGGTAAGATAGTTTCATGCATACCTATGAGTTCATGTGTATTTTTTCCACAAAAATAAAAATTTTCCCAAACCCTAACCCATACTTATTACTTTCTTTTCAACAGTGGATCTCACATGGAGACTTTTCCCAATGTTACAGAGAGGAACTCCACAGAGTATATTAAGACAAATCTGACGAACAGGTATAGAAAATTTAGAGTCTCATAGAGTCCTACAGAATGCTAAAACAGTTCTCTCATTTAACCCAAATGCCTTGACTTTTCCTACAGTTCCGAAACAACGAAACAAATAAGGCCTTCTCTGTAAGTCGTGTTTAATTCATTTTTTTTAAATGCATGCAAAACTAAATTATTATATTACATTTCATTATATTATATTATATTATAGTATAGTATTATAGTATAGTATATTTTTTATGTGTAAACTTGTCTAGGCTTTTTACCGGTAGCTTATATACAAATACTCACTATATTAATTCTGTAATGTGCTGTGTTTTTCTTGTATTTAAAAATAAAGTTGTTAACATTTGCATTTAAAATAATGGAATAATTATTTCCATTGTAGTTGTTAATCAGTTCATTAATGTATGCTGCCCTTCTGACATAGCATAAAGACAAATTGCACAAAGAATGCTTGTTTTGTTCATAATCGCACGGATAACAATTATATTGTGTTTTCCGCCTCTGTTAGACACACTAATCTAAAATGCCAAATTAACATGGAGGCATTCATGACAGCTTTCATTAATCGTTTTCACACGGAAATCAAATCTTAAATGACTAGTGAAATGTCACCATAAAGTAGAACAAATAACTTTCTGTCTCGTTATTCCTGTGTCATTCTCTGCATCACCTTCATTCTTTTTGACACACAACAGATTCACTATTCGTATTGCAGCAAATGGCCTTTAAACAATTTCCTTACTGACAAAAGGACAGAATATTGCATTTGAAATCCTCAATCAGTATTTCTTGGTGCCTGAAATACTCTTTCATTTCAGCCGAAGGTTTTGCTTTCTGCCCACTTGCTCCTTGTGGAACCTGGGGTCATTGCTACAGACGGGAAATGAGATTGCTGGGGACATGACCAGTGATCCAATGGGAATTGGCAAGAAATGAAGCAGGATCCTGAATGATCAACGAGCCAGTGGTGTTTTGACTGATTATAAGAGGAAGTTGCACTAATGCATTACAGTGAAGTGATGTGCTCTGGTATCTTAGGGTTGCTTTAATATTCTGTGAAAACAGGATTTATTTAGGCATGTTGTGTTTACTCAAAATCTTATTCTCTTATATACAGTGGTGTTGTGATGTTTCTGTTTTTTTTATTTTGATGAGAATAATTATAGTGAAATCCTGCAATTTATTTCTGGCTCTAGCAGACATTTGTTTTCAGTGAATTTTAGTGAAACCTTGCCCATTTTATGGAAAATGGCACCACATGTTATATTGCAATTAGTATTTATGACTGATTTTATAAGCAGGGTAAAGCGTACATTCAGTCTTACTGTAGATGTTGTAGCACCTTATCGCGAGGCACTGCAGGTGAATATGGTAAAAAGAAAATAGCCATATTCCTATGAAATATGAGATATTTCTGTGAAACTGCCAAGTCCTTTTTCTGTAATAAAAATAATTTTATATTACAAGTTGGCTCAAAAACACATTACAACACGGAAATGCATCAATGGAATGGAATACCCATTGTTGTCTATGTTGTAAAATAAGTTATGAAATATGTAGGCCTACTATAAATTCTGTAATAAAATTCATAACTGTCAGCGTCACATTTAATTTCATTGAGTTATTGTTCTTGTTTCCTTCAGTTTAGTTCCTGTCTCCTTAGTTAATAATTCCTCTGTTTGTTAACCAGATTACTGATTACCCTCACCTGTATGTAGTTTAGTTATATGTGTATAAGTAGTCCTGTTTTGTTCAGTTTGCAGATGTTATTGTGTGGTTTGAGTGTATGTTTGCCTGTATATTCCTGTTTGTGGATTAAAGACTATTTAGATTCAATTTCTTTGTCTTTTGTGTTGGATTGCAAAACCATATGTGACAAATCCATAAGTGAGAATATATGTGCTAAGTTTGATTCATGTATGTTTAGAGGATGCTGATTAATTTGTTGATTTTTTTTAACCTATATCTTTCCTTTATTTTCTTAAGGAACATGTGTTTTCTTGACTTTTTGCCCATAAATATTTATTATTAATAATGAATTTACACAATATACTCACCTCAAAAAAAAAAAAGAAAAAAAAGAAATTAAATGTCCTATCAAATTCAACAGCTTTTATTTCCAGCAAATTTCTTAACATGTATAAATTTAAACATAAAACGTCAAACAACTGAGACATAAAGAACTGAGACATGAACACTTGGTTACACTTGTTTCACACACTCTCAGAAAAAAAGGTACAAAAGCTGTCACTGGGGTGGTAACTTTTCAAAAGGTACACTTTTGTACCTTTTAGGTACTAATATGTACACTTTAGGAACTAATTTGTACCATTAAGGTACCAAAATGGACTCTTTAGGTACAAAGTTGTGCCTTTTAAGAAGGAACCGCCCCAGTGACAGCTTTTGTACCTTTTTTTTGAGAGTGCAGGTGCATATGCAATAATGATTCATTGAACAAGCATGAAGAACATTATTTAAACCCTTGCTAATAAAGATCTGTTAAGCTTATTTGGATTTTACAAGATTACTTTAAAGTATGTATCTACAGTCTTGAAACATCAGATAATCGATCAATTAAGCCAGTTATGTGGTTTGACATTAACAAAAGGTATGGCTGACAGAATGTTCTTTCTCAATATAAAATGTTAAAAACAAGCTTTGTTGAAAGAACTCTTAAGTAAACAAATATGCACACACTTCAGACCAAAATCAGACGTTTTCCCATGAATATCGTCCAACATTGTGACTCTTGGAATTGATTTATTTATTATGTGGTGACTTATTTTCTCTCTTTATACTACAAAACATTGATAAAGTCGAATCAATCGTCTCTGTCTGTCTTTTAAATGTTTGTCCCTGTCTTATTCGAGGACGAAATCAACTCCTACCTGTGGGAATCACACACATATACAGATACCTAACATATTTAAAGAGCTTCCTCTGAGAGAAAAAAATATATAGTTAAATCAGCTGTTGATCTGCTTCATTCACATTCAGTAAGTCAGTGCTGGTGATGAACAGCATGTTTCTTGTCTGGACTCTCAGCTCTCTCATCCTCAGCTACACTCTTGGGGTTCCCACCCTTAATAGCACAAGGTAAGATATTTTCAAGCATATTTGAAATGTTGTCCACAAAAAAGAAATTCTACTTCATACTTGTGATGCATTCATTTTCAGCAGTGGATCTGAAATGAAGACTTTTCTCAATGTCACAGAGGAGAACTCCACAGACTATAGTAAGACCAATCAGACCAGGTATAAATACACACAAACATGCTTAATGATGACTAAATAAAACAGCGTGAATGATGTTAACAGACTGGGGTGGGGAAGCAGTGGTCACATACTCTGACTTTGGATGTGAATATGCAGAATTTTGACCATCTTACACATGTTGGGCTCTTTTTTTAAAATTTTTTTAAACTTAAATCAGGTAAGAAAAATGTCTTTGTTTATTCATAAAACATGATGAAATCTACTCTTTTCATAAACAGTGTTTCCTCTGTCACTGTTACCATTAGGCTGATATTTGTAGTAATTTACTGCTGTTCATAAGAAAGAATGTCAATCATGACAACTCTCTGAATAGTTTTAGCATATTAATGGGCATGACAATGTTAATGTATTTGGTCTTGTGGACTAGATCTGATATGCACGCTGCAGCAGAGCATGTATGGACTTGCTACTGCTAATAGATACACAGACACACTGCTGTCAGCACATAAGATATGCTGCTGCATGAATAGGCATATATAAATCCCATAGCAGATCTAGACATGTGGAGCTGGGGAAGGTGGAGGGTTTAAGATGAAGTCTCATAGAACGAAGCAGGACCAGCTTACAGCAAACACTGAACCAAACGATTTAAATGTTGAGCAAGTAATATAATAGACTGTGGAATCAGCAGAGGCCAAACAGCTTATGCCATGTAGGAAATGATTTCTAGCAGATATAAAGATATAAAAAA